GACCCAGGATCAGAGGAACGTATCCAACCCAGGATCAGAGGAACGTACCTGACCCAGGATCAGAGGAACGTATCCGACCCAGGATCAAAGGAACGTACCTGACCCAGGATCAGAGGAACGACGACAGTCATGAAGAGCTGAGAGAAGATGGAGGTGAATGGAACCGATGATGAAGAGCCGAGCTGGAGGAGAAGAACCGAGACGTGGATGAGATAAAGGACATCAAACTTACAGACTTTATGAAAGTATATCAAATAAGTAAAGGTCAAGAATTCCTTGAAAGCTGCAGAACACCAGTTTTTAATCAGAGCTCTAAACTAAAATCATCCGACAACGAGAAGAGAAAGTTTTTGTGTTTTGGTCAAACCTTGAAATTAGATTAGACTTGAGCTGAGCATCAGTTAAATTACCTGAGTCGTAGCCTTGCTGTGATCCCTAAGATCGCCATTTTGAATCAGGTTAGGGTTAATAAAATAAACTCGGTTTGTTGAACCTACTTTCTGGAATACCTTAAACCACGTGTCAAACTCAAAGTCCACGGGTCAAATACGACCCTCTAACATTTTATCTGGCTCACAAAACAATATTTCAAATGTCAGACAGTTTTCTAGCTACACCTCTTGCTAAAAAAGGATCTCCAACTAGTTGGAAGAACAGAACTTATTTGATAAACCATTAGACGTTTTAATACAATTTGTAAATATATAAATACACAGACATTACCATTTCATTTATGTTGCAGTGCATTCTGGGTAAATGGCATAGACAGGTTGCTCTGGCGCTCCGCTCAGCTACATCTATATATGTATTTATCAATCAAAAACATGTATGTTAGCTGCCTTCAGGTCCAGGACTCCCTCGCAAAAGAGACGTGATCTCAATGGGATTTGCCTGGTTAAATAAACGTTAATCAATAAATCAATCTAGATCCGTCTCTCTATATATATAGATATATATATAGATAACTACGACCATCGCTTTATCTACCTCTACCCAACTCCATTTCTATCCGCACCCACCTCCCTTTCCATCCACACCCACCTCCCTTTCCATC